TTCCGATGGATACCTACTCCAGTGAGCCCCGAAAGGAGCTATGTATCCAATCGATACGGGGCCCACCAAAAAGTACACGCGTCAAGTTGTGTGTTGTAATTGAGCTAGAATGAGACCATATTACCTTATACTGGCTCGGCAGATGGTCAGCCGCGGCGAATCGAATTAACTTTATTTGTAAATCGTCGTTTTCAATGAAAATCAACCAATTGTAGAGCAATTTGGAAATGGAGGCTTTTTTCGGTGCGTTTGCGTGAACTTTTTTTTTTTTCTTTCTTTTTTAGAGACATTTCCCCCCTATATATACATGGGTATTTGGTGAGTCAGTGTTGTGGACGACTATACACCGACAACCCATTTTACTTGGTGCCACTTGTAATGTATTACAAACGATGTACATTCCACATCGACAACATAATATTATACCTAATAATTAAGTATAATACGCAGATGAGGGTATACAGATTTGATTGTTCATCGGAACCAATGTATACGGAATCGGAAGTTGGGGAGGTGGAAAAAAAAAAAAAAAAAAAATTCTAGGGTACACACGGCATAGCCGCAAGCCGTGTCGATTCCAGCGAGTATAAGCACGGCCTCCGCAGCTCCCATATATATCGCTTCTTGTGTGGAGTTGGTCCATTACTTACTCCCCTCGAAACGTACACCTCCTCTTACGCACATGCGTGGACCCGTCGGGGCAGGGCGTGAAACTGCTAATGAATATCGGCCCTAAACGCCCGGAGGAGGGGAGAGAAACATCATCAGCCGTACAAGAAGCGACGAACGAGGGTTAAGGGTTATTGGACGTATAGCTCCACTTCTATTATCCGCACACGTACTAGCCCAAGCATGCACATGGGTGTACGAGGCCAGTGTGTGGGGGATTTATACGCGTATACCTACACAAACGTGGGTGAATCTCCCCCTGTATATAATAATATAAGGTATTTTGTTGCGTGCGCCACTGTATAAGAGAGCAAAGTATCGTTGTATGGGTGATGGCGAGAAAAATCTAACGCGCCGAAGGGAGATGCGTGTATAGGCTTAGGTGTACGCGTTACAACACCCATAGGTCACGCTCGTTTGTCTCGCGTTAGCGTGCTCTCCTTTTATCCCACCTCCACCTTTTTCCTTCTGTTCCTCGGTACATATCGAGGACGAAACGCTTCATCGAGTCCCGTTCCGCATACAATGTGCTATACACCCATTGTACTGCAACCCCTTTTCGGAAACTCCCTGCACCTATTACGACTACGTACACGTTTTACTGACTTTCGCTTTTTCTTCCATTGACCCACGCGTGCAAGGTACGGGGTGTCCTACACACCAGGATCTCTCGAGACCCTTACACACACACACACACACACACACACAAGTTTTTATCCATGGGTTTATGTATAAAACTGAAAAATGAAAATTTGGTAACAATTTAATTTGCATAGCGGATGCATTGCGCGATAAAACTTTTGAGCGGTATAAAAGCATATTTTCAACCCAATACACCCGTATATACCTAAATATTGATGCGAGCGTGCCGCTCCCCATCATGAAAATTTTATACGAGGCAAAAAGTCCGTCGACGCGTCGCGGACGAGTGGCGGCTTCACATAGGCATATAATAGCCGGGGCGTAAACGGACCATCAATATTTCAAAACATGTAATACATCTTTCCTCTCTACGTGGTAGGTGTATGTATACGCGTAATCGTAACAGTGTGTGTGCTTCGTGCACTCATGCCCCCAATCGATGCAAATAGAGCAGTAAATTCGAAATGTTAAAATGCACCCCCGAAAAGAATTGTAGCCGGCGTGGCCCTACCCTGTGTTTTTATGTATATATATATATGTACGTGCCTACTCCACCGGGAGCCCGTACCAACCATATGCCCCCCAGAACTGCCGTATACATACACTCCATATATATATATATATACGGACACTGTACACCCATATGTATATTTATAGAGCAGGGGGAGGCTTGAGCTAATAGTTGGCATGCGGGATCAAAGCTGAATAATTCACTTTTGCTCGCTTGATTATTTATTAATTGTTATCGTTTTCGATTTGCTGGGCGTGCTCCTGTATTATATATATACCTACGATTTGTCCGTCCACTAATCAAATGACGAAAAACAGATTACTTATTTTTTATATTTTTTAAAAAAGGTATGGTAAAAATTAATGAAAAAAAAAAAAAACACGTGCATGGGCTGAAGTAGTAGCAACACGATTTTGTACAATGAGCTTTGGTGGGGATATGTATATTTTCACTTGTAATTTTCAGCGGGAGCTGCAGATATCGTGGTTCAGACAAACCCCGGTGCTTGCACTCGGTATACCATGAAACTTCTTTTACGAATCGACAAAACCCCTCGGTCGAGATGAAGGCAATTAAAAGTAGTTCCTCGATTATTCTCGTGAAAAAAAAAAAAAAAAAAAAAAAAAAAAAAAAAAAAAAAAAAAAANCGTATACTCGAGCAGTTGATCGATAAATTTTTTTTTTTTATTTTTTATTTATTACGTATAGGTGTAATTATTACGTATTACAATATGTACCCAAGTGGGTGACAAGTGTATCATCGTAAGGTGAGTCAGTTTGATTTTCAATGTTAAGAGTCAACGAATGGAATCGCGTCGCGGTCATGGCCATCGCGGGACAAAGACGCTGCGCGTGAATATGCGCCTATACCTATTGCTTACTTACCTACTTAACAGACTTATCGGAAGATTTGCGCTCTCGGGTGATAAATCGATGCGTGTGTATGAAGGCACGATGTACGGGTATTAACTTTTAACGATAAGCTATAATACGTAGGTGTACGTTATTATCAATTATATATATATATAGTTTTGTTCGACGTTATTTTTTTCATTTGCATCGCGTGTACAGGTATGTATATACATGGTTGTAGAGCTTTGCTTTGAACAGGGGAATTTTCGACCATTCAGCTATACGTCGTCTACGCATGTGAGTGAGTGTCGCAATAATAACGCACTTGTCGTTTGTGCAAAAAAAAAAAATCATGTTTCTTTATCGTTTAGTGGCTTATAGCCATATCGCGTCGGTCTTTTATTATTCGGAATCATTTTTCTTTCTTCTTTCCTGTACCGCTAGAGTTTAATAATGAGAGTTCTCGCACTGTCTCTTTTATGTTTTTTTATTTCATGATTCTAAATGTGAAAATACTTGCATTACGTGCAGGTATACAGATACCTATCGAGGAGTTAGTGGTAATCAGCAGCTTTGATCGGTCAATCGAAGTATCGTAAATTTTATTGGTTTTATAGCGCCTCGTGTACGGGTTTTTAAGCTTTTCACGAAAAACGCGTCTCTTGCGAGTAAACATTACATCAATTAAACCCATGTACGAGTCCAATTAACTTTTTGGATCGATTGTTTTTTTGTTATCAAAATCACGACTGCTCGTTTTTAAATATCTGCAATCGGAATAAGCAAGAGGCACTCGAACGAGGATCCGATACGACCGAAAAACCAGATCAATCGACGCAAGTATATAAGCACCCGCTCTCGCGTTCGGCGCTACAATGTGGCATCGATATCAATCGGTTCAACCATTGAGTTAAAAATAAACATATTTACCCGTAGTGTACCTATATATATATATAAGTACAGTATGATAAAAATATGTCGCTCATATACTTAAACGTATACGAGAAAAAATTGCGAATCGGGGTATTTTTGAGTTCCACCGGTCAGTATCCATACTAATTGACGATATAGGTATAGCTGCAGTGAGTACCTCCGTGGGCAGCATCCAGTGCGATTTCGATCGCGAGAAGCGCCAACCGTCAGTCCAGCTGTATCTTAGAGGCTGCGCACCGAATTAAATCGGTGGTCATATACGGAGCAAAACGCGCTGCAGCATCATAGACCCTCGCGATTCGCGCGGAAGCAAAGGGGATGGTAATGTACCAACTTGGCTCTCTGATTCCGCATACGATGCGACTGGAAATGGTTATACAAAGTTATATGGGGGGGTAGGTACATCATCTGCGCCGCGCAATATCCTCGTATCCGATGAAAGAAGTAACGCGCCGCTAAACAATGATCTCGCGCCTCGCCCCCTTCGGCACTTGTACACCATGCACGTGTGAACTGCGAGCTATAGTGGGCGAGCGGGGGTGGCTCTGCGTATACGTGTGCTCGTGGACGGGTACATATATGTATATGCAACTGGACACAGATGAGCCGAGGAGAGGGTAAAACGAGTGTGTATATATATACACCAACTTACGTATAACAGGAGAGACCAAAGTGTTCACGGATGAGAGAGTGCGGGCGGTGGAATGGGCGTTCCTCGGAGCTCGCGGGTAGGCGGAGCCTGTCGCTCGCAGTCCTCTCTCTCTCCCTCGTCCGCATCACGAAAATCCCGGCTTCGGAGTTTGTCGTCTGCTGCTCTGGGGCTCGTATACGTATATATATACTTACACACGCACTCGTCCTCGCCGCCGTCGCTGTTATTGACGTCGTCGACGCGCTGTTGTACTCTCTCCCTCGTAGTCTGTTAGCTGACGGCCACTGCGACGCGCGGATCTTCCTCGGTCGCGGCTGTACGTAAACTTACCACATCCTAGGTATATATACATATATACATATATATGTAATATTATAACTCGCGTGATTCGTCGATCGCCCGTCAGTCGGTGGCCGGACAATTTTATCACGTTGACACCGTGCAATACAGTGTGTGTGTGTGTGGGTGTGTGTGATTATTATTATTATTATTATTATTTGTATACTTGCTCTGATGTTTCGTGTGCAAAGTAGTGACCGCGATGACGGACGATAACTCGAGCGAGGAGACTTTGTGCTGATTGATGAGAGGATAAAGAAAAAAAAGAGTGCGTCGGTCGAGGATCGAGTTGTTGTCGGGATTGTTTTTTCAACGAGTAGATACGTACAGAGAGAGAGCAAAAGAGGAGGGGGGAGTGAGGGTAAAGCGGGGGTTGTGTGACTCTTTTATATTCCCCGGGTTTACAAATATGATGGAAGTGCAGCAGCAGCACTCGCCGGTGGGGGTGGGACCACTCGACTTTTCCCGGCGAGGAGTAGCCGAGGCGTCGGCCTTTCGCGTCGTCAAGCCCAAACAGCAACAGCACCAGCAGAGCCCCCACCAGTTGCGAGCTCTTTCCGAAAAGAACAACAACAACAACAACAACAACAACAACAATATCAACACGAACAACAACAATCACAAAAACGACAATCCACAGGAGAGCACGAGGATAGTGGCCAGCGATGCCGAAGGTAGGTGGTATACCGCCGTCCTGTTTTTTCTACGACAGATTTTTTTTTTTTTTTTTTTTTTTTTTTTTTTACTTTCAACAATCACCTCCACGAGGTCTCTCAAGTTTTTTCCTCCATTCGACGAAATATTGTCATTGCTGTACGTGTTTTAAACGTTTTACCCGCACATCTGATTGGAAGGGGTTGACGTTTTAACATTCGCGCGTGTTTACTTGCTCTCACGTATTGGAAAAAAAGCTTATTGCTGGGGATTTTTTTCTTTTTAACCAGAGCAATCGTTCGATTTTTTTTTTAACTCGTTTATTTGATTGATGCGATTGTTTCATATACCACATGTTTTCGTGTGGAAGAACTTTTGTTGCGCCAGGCACTAACGGGCGTATAGAATTTTGGAGTCAAATAGAATATCGTGTAAAACGTATGATCGACGGGACAAGGGAGAATTTGAGAGCTTTTTCTCATCCGAGCGAAAAAAAGTCATTCATCACGAATATATGTTCAGTCTACTTACATCGAGTAAAATATAATATTAACCAAAGTTCGGGGACTAAAATACGAGCACAATTATCATGATGGCTGTTCCTACTGTTTTTTTTAAACTTTTTTTAAAAGGTCGAATCAGAAAAGCTCTCATCACCCATTGAAGTTACCCTTGATTGTACAAGTGCACAAAAAAAAAAAAAAAAAAAAACGCGCAGTACCAATGCAAAGCTCGATAGAGTCTCACCCTTGCTCTCTATGTACAGGTATACGCACCCTCGGATGGTTTCACCCGCGGCGATTGTAAAGCTCTCGCATATTCCCTCGCGAAGCATCGCAGCAGCCGACAAACGCGCGTCACTCATCGCTTCTCCTGTACAGATACATCCCTCCTCTTTACACCCCGCGCATATAAACACGCAGGTACACGCACTGCACCCTCCCTGTCATCGGTCTGTCCATTACACCCTGCTATTATACCGCTGCTCCCTGCAACCGAGCTGCACTCCCACCCACACCTGCGTCCCGCAAGCTCGTTTTCGCTGCATGTGCTTGCACGCACGCACGCCCGCGCCCATATAGTGACACGTTACGTATATATATATGACGTATATACGTATGTAGACACATCGGCAACGCAGCGAGGCTCCCTGTAATTAAGCGCGCACTTTAAGCCTCGCGAGGCACGCCAAAGCGCATCCCCTCTGTTTGTGCGTCTCGCGAGCCCTCTATGTATATAAATATACCGTATCTGGGCGGCGATTAGCCGCCCATTGCATCACAGATTTCTTTGATGCAGGTAAACCCTCATGTTTTTTTTTTTTTTTTTTTTTTGTCATCGTCATTTTTTCCATTGAGATACTTACGTGGCTACAACGATATCACTAACATCAGTTTTTGTTCAATCATGTCACACGCATACGTCTATAGGGATTTGGTAATACCGATCGTGGGACAATCACTGTGGCACATCCTTGGTATAAAAGTTTATCATTATTTTTTATGAGCAACATTACATAAGAAACGTTGTAATTCATGTATAGGTCATACTGTTTGCTCGACTGTGTTGGATACACTTGTGCTCCTGCAGGGATAATGCGTCACACGCGTGTTAAACACTCAACACCTACGCATATTTTACTATTGTATGGATGCACATCGAACGCCTCACGTGTACCAATTTGTTTGCTCGTGCGTGCATGCATTTTCGTATACATAGGCCTATTAAGAATACGTTACTACTGGTGTGACTATATATAACGCGTAAGTATAATGAGTGTTGTTCAACAAGTGATGATGTGAAACCACCGAACAAGGCTCTTGTGCGTCTGTAAGTCCATACTGTCCTCGCTAAGCTACGGACCATCATCACCTAGCTGTGTAATTAACCCAATGAATTGCGAGTTAACGTAAATAAGTAAACGATAGCGAAAAAGTGATGATTAAAATTTTACACAAATACCTTTTTTTCTTACCTTGCAATTGCCGTGCATATGTACGTCGTGGTCTTTTCTCGCACTGGTTGCCTCCTTTTTTCACGTGTTTCGCTTTTTCTTTTTTTTTTTTTTTTTTTTGGTTTNAAAAAAAAAAAAACACGTGCATGGGCTGAAGTAGTAGAAAATCCGCTTGCCCTGGATCGAAAGTTACGTTAACCCCGAGGAGGGAAAGCGATTTTTTCCACTGTCGCGAGAGATCGGCCTTGTAGGAGGCCAGTGACAGGGTGTACTATACGCTCGATCGATCTTTGACCGAGATCCACTTTTGTCCGCCATGATTTTGCGCGAGATCCACCAGTGCCGATTAGATAAGCAATCGGTCGTTCGTTGCTGCGCGTCATCACTTGCATACTTACTATTTTTTTTTTTTTTTTTTTCCTCTTTTTTTCCACGCAAAGGTTTATTGGCACGATCGTGTTTCGGGCCCTGTTGGAAAAAAAAAACCACGCGAGCCGCGTTTCACGTGGGACTTTTCTCGCTTTGATGTCCGGCCGTGCTTCGCGGAATCGTTGGGAAACCGTATATGGCTAGATTTAAGGAATTCGCGAAAAAAAGCTGTTTCGATCAATAAATCAATTTTTCTTATCTGCTGCTTGAGACGATAAAAAAAAAAACAACAAAATACTCTTCTTCCTGCAAGTGCTAAGCCGTGTTCCGGATACGCGAAAGGCTTCCCGGTAAACGTGTCTTCGATAAACCCATCATTAACGAAACTTTGATTAAAAACAAAAATAACACTAAATAAGAAAAAAAAAAAAAAGGGTTTCCTACCCACATCCAATTGAACGTCCAATCCAACTGTAATTGAGTGAAATGGTCACTCCCGCCGCTGGACAAGCCAACGCGTGAGTATTTTACCCCGGAGGGCGGCGGACATCATACGCACAGTGCAAGGCACATTAGATGAAAAGCACATCGTGTATATTATATGCTGGCACGCATATATATATATATATATATATATATATATATATATATATATATATATATATATATATATATATATATATATATATATATATATATATATATATATATGTATATGTATACGTGTAAGGAGGAGAAAGTGCATATGATGGCCCGCATGGCGGCATCTGATGCTCGGCTTCACCCCTGATTTTCCGAGTGGCGCTCGATGCTCGCTAATCATCTCGAGGTCCGTGTCGCCACGCGCGCTCGAGGATGTATTAATGTAAATGCTACCTTCATTATGTCGGGGCCCCAAGTGCGTGGCGTGCGTCCCGACGTCATCGCGATCGTGGCCCACATACACGCAACCGTCGGTCCAATTGCCGAAAAAAAAAAAAAAAAAAAAAAAGACATACGGTGCGATCACACTGCACGTATATCGGACAGCTCGACCCAGCGCGGCGAGCCGCTCCCCAATTGAGCATGTACTTATTTATCCACGTATATACGCTTCATGCGAGCAGCTCTCGCGAGTCGGGCGCGTGTTTGCCCCGCTCCTATTTTCCTCTTTCTCTTTGTGGCTCTGTTGGCTGGGGCAATTTATTGTATTAACCGGAGATGTATAGAGGAAAGAGTCTGCGATGCGACAAACGAGTTGGGTCGGAATCGTGGTGGGCACCAATTTCCGAGCCAATCTCCTTTTTCTCCTTCATTCGATGATGAGCCGTCGCGTAAGAGACTTTTTCCCCAATACTGTTTTTTTTTTTTTTTTTTTTTTTCATCATTGCACAGAGTGGGTGTAATGGCGTTGATGATCACGTCGATTCCGACAGTTTTTTGTTTCATCGGGTCTTCTTCGAACAATCGATTGTCCGTTCAGAGATTCAATTGAGATGAGTTGCTTTTAGGAAACTACATCATGTATATACACCGTAAGGGTCATTTCGCGAGAAAGTTTATAATCATTTTTTATTATTAGGAGTACTCGTTAGGTTTGGGCCACATATATTGGTGAGTAAATGAACAGGGCGTGCATTGGCAATGGAAAAATCGAGGTAAAAAATGACGTCACCCCGTCGTGCTCGTCTTGTCCGTGCAAATTGTTTTAACAATCATCTTGTGATTTTTGAACATTATCGTGCAATCACCGGGGCATTGGCTGTTTAAGCCCATCCCGGGGCAGAGTTTCGAGATTGACTCGCACGTCTGCGTAAGCCGATAATTTTTCAATCGTTGATGCGGTAAGCTCGGCTATCAAAACAAACGACGCTGCCAGTGGGTCAAGGACCGAGTACTCGTCACCACGTCAAAAGTGACACGACGACGGACGACAACGAAGCTGTAGCACAAACGTAAACTATAAGTTTTATAATGAGTCTTTTTTTTTTCTCGCTAAGGTAAATGTCCCTATCAAGGAATATTGTCCCTATGGCGGAACGATTTCTTATTTTTTGTACCAAAATTTTTATTGCTTATTTATAAGTTTACAAAAATTACAATAAATAGCTTAAAATATCTTTAAAACTTTTTTAAAAATTTTATCCGAATACACCGATATGAGAAGTAAATAAAAAATAATTTAAGAACGTGCACTTTCTGCATCTAAAATTTATGAGAATAAGTGACACTTACTATGAGGAGAGAGCATTTCTTTACCCATGCTGTAATAATTATAAAGCATTATATGAGCTCGGAGTTAAATTTTTTTGCATGTGTTGAAGCTATACTTTAGATTTATACGTATAGTTTGATGAAAAACTGAATATTTTTATTAATTTTCGCACGTTCCGTTCCATGTTCATTGTCGGTCAAAATGTACATTAAAAGAAACAGCCAACATAACGCGTTGCTCATTACCTGCGTAAACAAGACATCTTGTCCCCATCGTGAAGCACACTTTATAAAGCTATTTTATTAAATATCAAACAAGAAAAACCGTAGATAGTTTATTATAATTTATTTGAATCTAAGATTTT